TGGGATCTCCATGGGGCAAGGACCTGCCCTGGCCTGGGGGTCCAGGGACACACACCTGAGAAGGGGCTGCCCAGTGGGCACCAGTAGGGGGTGTTGAGGATGAGGTCAGGACTAGTCTCTTCCCAGGTGGCCCAGGGCTCCTTCCAGGGACCCCTAACTTGGCTCAAGCTCCTGGCCAGGCGTGCAGGACTGGGGTCTCAGCTAGAGAGGTGCCACCCAGTGGGCTAGTGCTTCTGCCCAGCTCAGGCTCCGAGCTTTCTGATACATATTTATTTACACCCAGCACCCAAATTAGGCTTTGGCCTGCCTCCTTTTGCTCCCTCAGCATTGATGAGAGCTGCCTCCGTGGCCCACTGCCCATGGAGGGGAACCAGCAGGTGTGGGCGGTGCCCCGTCTGGGACCCAAGTGTCCTGCCCCTGTGGGATGGTATGCAGGCAGCTGAGCCCAGAATGCTGGTCCAGCCATCCACCAGCAGCCATGGGAGCACTCCCATTCCGTGGCAACTCAGCATTACCTACCTCTCCAATCCTGCCTCTCCCTCATGATGCATGCCTTCGTTCTTTTTCTTTTCTTTCTTTTTTCTTTTCCTTCCTTCCTCTTTCTTTCTTTCTTTCTTTCTTTCTTTCTTTCTTTCTTTCTTTCTTTCTTTCTTTCTTTTCTTCTTTCTTTCTTTCTTTCTTCTTTCTTTCTTTTTCTTTCTCTCTCTTTTTCTTTCTTTTCTTTTCTTTCTTTCTTTCTTTTTTCTTTCTTTCTTTCTTCTTTTTTTCTTTGATTTTATTTATTTATTCATGAGAGACACAGAGAGGCAGAGACAGAAGCAGGCTCCATGCAGGGAGCCTGATGAGGGACTCAATCCCAGGACTCAGGATCACACCCTGGGCTGAAGGCAGGCGCTCAACCACTGAGCCACCCAGGGATCTCCGAGATCCTTTTCTTTTTTTAAAAAAGATTTATTGGGATCCCTGGGTGGCGCAACGGTTTAGCGCTTGCCTTTGGCCCAGGGCGCGATCCTGGAGACCCGGGATCGAATCCCACATCAGGCTCCCGGTGCATGGAGCCTGCTTCTCCCTCTGCCTGTGTCTCTGCCTCTCTCTCTCTGTGACTATCATACATAAATAAATAAAAATTAAAAAAATAAAAAACAAAATGCAAAATATTAAAAAATAATAATAATAAAAAAATAAATAAAAAAAATAAAAAAGACTTATTTATTGGGGCACCGGGGTGGCTCAGCAGTTGAGCGTCTGCCTTTGGCTCAGGTCGTGATCCCAGCAGTTGAGCGTCTGCCTTTGGCTCAGGTCGTGATCCTAGGTTCCTGGGATCGAGTCCCACATCAGGATCCCCATAGGGAGCCTGCTTCTGCCTCTGCCTGTGTCTCTGTGTCTCTCATGAATAAATAAATAAAATCTAAAAAATATATATTATATTTATTTATTTATTTTTGAGACAGAGGAGGGGGAGGGGCAGAGGGAGAAGGAGAGAGATCTTCAAGCGGACTCTGCTTTGAATGTGGAGCATGGGTGTGGAGCCCCATGCAGGCCTGAATCTCTCAACTCTATCACCAAGCCAAAACTAAGAGTTGGACGCACCACCCAGGCATCCTGAGTCCCTTTGCTTTACGAACTACCCCCAAGCCCACACCCTATGCCCCACTTCCCCACACCCCATGCCCCACTCCCCCAACCCCCATGCCCCACCCTCCCACCCCTTGGCTGGGCTGTGAGCTTTTGCAGGAAGGGTTAAAAGGAGGTGACATCCAGTGTCTGGGGATTTTCCCAAGGGGGTTCTCAGGCCCTGTGGAGAGGATGACAATGCAGAAGAGAGGGAGAGTTCTAGACAGGGGGAGGAGCCAGGGGAAAGTCATCAGGTGGAATGAGTTGGCATGGTTAGGAATCATGGTGGGGGTGTGTCCCTCCTGTGAGGGAGTGGAAAGGAGTGGAAGACATGAACCACACTTCCTCCACAGAGAAACAAACTCAGTCCTTGGACCTAGTGCTGGGTTCTGGAGGAGCCCGATTCCCAGTTATCCTCAGTTTCCCCTAAGGTGGCCCAGAGGAGTGTGGCCTTATCTCCTGTCACCCCAGCACTCATCTGTAGGTTTGGCTCCATACCACAAAGAAAATAAACAGAACTTCAAAAAAACCATTGTCAAGGGATGGGAGTACTTCTGAAGGGAGGAGGTAATGAGAAGGTTCCAACATACTCCGTAGCAATAAACCAAATCAGATGATCTCCTGGCTGCCCCCATTCGTCCCCCAGAAACTCCTGACAGAGGTCTCTTTAGTGCTTTCCACTCTCTCAACTCAAACCCTTCCAGACACCTTCACCCCCCAGCTGATGCCCCCCAAGGCAGCCCAAACACCTCTAGCACACCCAGGGGGCATTACCCCAGAGGGGGCCCCATCTAAGCCCCATTTCAAGATGAGGACACTGAGAAGCTTGCCATATGCCGAAGATGGCTAGACTAGTAGAGAGTGGGTCTTCTTCTTCCTTTTTTTTCCTTTTTTTTTTTTAATAAAGATTTTATTTATTTATTCATGAGAATACACAGAGAGGAGAGAGAGAGAGGCAGAGACATAGGCAGAGATAGAAGCAGGCTCCTTGCTGGGAGCCTGATGTGGGACTTGATCCTGGGTCTCCAGGATCATGCCCTGGGCAGAAGGCAGGTGCTAAACTGCTGAGCCACCCAGGGATCCCTTCCTTTTTTTTTTTTTTTTTAAGGATTTTATTTATTTATTCATGAGAGACACACAGAGAGGCAGAGTCACAGGCAGAGGGAGAAGCAGGCTCTCTGTGGGGAGCCCGATGTGGGACTCAACCCCAGGATCACGTCCTGAGCCGAAGGCAGAAGCTCGATCGCTGAGCCACCAGGTGTCCCGATAGTGGGTCTTCTGACGGGTGCCAGTGGTTCCAGGGGAGGTCCCTGATGTGCAGGGAGGGGAAGGGTGGCCAGTGTCAGAAGCATCCTTGGACCATGGGGACAGGGTCTGGTTGGCTCTGGTATCTCTGCTGCCAGCTCCCTGCCACCCTGGGCCTCTGTGGGCTCCTGTGGCTCAGGGTCCTGTTCCCCACCCCTGCTGCCTGGCTGCCTGTTAAAATGTCACTGAAATAGGTGGCAGCGGGGTGGGGATCCCCCCTGTTAATGACGGTGGTCATGGGATGCTGACTCACTGCCGGCCAGACCACCTGACCTCTCCCGGCAGGCGACAGGGCCCTGCCAGGGGGTTCCCCAGCTGCTGCCTTGTTTACTTCGCACTGGCCTTGGGGGAGGGCAGGGCAAGGGCCACTGGGCAGTAGGGCATCCTGGGAAGGCCAGAGCTAGGACTCTCTGTGTGTGTCAACCTCAGGTTGGCTTCCCTGGGCCCCATTTCCTGCCATCCCTTTTCCCCGAAGCTCTCTCCTTCCCTCCTTGAAAACCCACACAATCCCAAATGGGGCCATACGGCCAGAAAGCAAAGCAGGCTTTGCTGGCAGCATGTTTCCACTGCTTGATTGGACAGAGGCCGCACCTCAAGCCTTGCCTGAGACCCGAGGTTCCCCAGAGCCCCAGGGCTCTCCTTCTGCACCCCCACTCACTCAGATGAGGCCACTGAAACTTGGGGTGGGTGGGAAGCTGGGCTCCTGGCCCAGCCTGCCCTGGGTTTCGAGGCTCCCGGGCTTGAGTCACACCCATGGACACCTGTGGGCCCCAGCAGCCTCTGCCCAGCACTGCCTCAGTCCATCCTCTGACCCTGTCTGCAGGGCAATGGGCGCTGGGTCACCTTCCCAGGCACGACACAGGGAGGGGCCTGAGAGGGTACGGCCTCTGTAAAGGGTTGCTTGGGCTGGGTATGCATACTCTGGAGCCCCCACCAGCCACACCTGTGGAGACAGGTCCCTGCTGTGTTCCCATAAGCAAATCGCCTTCCCATCCGAGAGCAAAGGCCGCCCACCCTTCCCTTCTGGGGTTCCCATTTCTTGAGGTTTTCCCTGTTCCCACAAACCCCACCATGAGAGGACATAACGTTGACTCAGCAAGTCTGACTTCTACTCATAGGACCCCACCTGGGAGACTTCATAGGGTAATGTACCCTTCCCCCACCTTCCCCCAGACCTGTGAACAGGTGGGTTTTGTCACATAAAGCAGTGTTACTTGGTTACCAATAGCTGGAGGGCTATTGGTCTGACCTCTGGGTTGCCCATGAGGCCGACAGGCCTGAGACCACACAGGCCCTTTTGGGCACCACCTGCTGCAGTGAACTCTGTGTAGACAGGTGGGTGACTGGCTGCCCATGGGGAGTCTGTTGGACTGTACTGAACAGCTGATGCCCAGTGAGGCTCCAGGAAGCCTTGGCTGGCCCTCTGGCCAGGTGAGGGTGAGAGGACCCTGTGCTCTTCAGGCACCTTTCCACCTTACCCCCTATTACACTGGGAGGTCCTGTGATGCTCAGGCCCAAGTCTGGGGTTATGTCCCTCAACCCAGGAAGTGGCCGTCATGGAGGATGCTGGGGGCGGTGGAGCAGGCGGCCACCCGCACAGCCAGGTGCTTCCAATGGACCGGAGAGCACCTCAGGAGCCCGTGGGTTCGGGCCCCTTGACCCCCGCCCCCCTCCGGCCTCAGGCATCCCCGGCGGCCTCCGTTCGGCTTTGCAGAGTCACGGCCAGGGCCAGGCCTGGGAGGGGTCTGGGGCAGGACCCCTGGGGGGGGCTTCCCTGCAGGGGAGGCGGCAGGAGCCCAGCCCCAGAGCCGGCAGCGTCCGGGGGCACTGAGGACAGTAAGGGGGGGGTCGGCCATAGGGGGCGCCGGAGACCCAGGGCCGAGAGCGGAGGGAGGGGCCGACGGAGGGGAGGGGGCAGCGAGCTGGGGCCTCCGCAGGGCGGCTCGCGCGGGGCGGCGTGGGCGGGGGCGCGGGGGGCGGGCGGGGGCGCGGAGCCCCGCCCCCGGAGGCGGCCAGGGCGTGGCCTCCCTCGTTTCCTACAAAGGCCGCGCGCCCCGCGCCGCCGCGGCCCAGCCGTCCCGCCGCCCGCCGCCCGCCGCCCGCCGCTCGCCGCCGCGGCCCAGCCGTCCCGCCGCCCGCGCCCGGCAGCGATGGCGTCGCTCACCGTGAAGGCCTACCTTCTGGGCAAGGAGGACGCGGCGCGCGAAATCCGCCGCTTCAGCTTCTGCTTCGGCCCCGAGCCCGAGGCGGAGATGGAGGCGGAGGCGGCGGCCGGGCCCGGGCCCTGCGAGAGGCTGCTGAGCCGGGTGGCCGCCCTGTTCCCGGTGCTGCGTCCCGGCGGCTTCCAGACGCACTACCGCGGTGAGCGGGCCGGCGCCGTCGGGGCGCTGCGCGGGGCGGCCGTCCGGGTGGGCGTCGGGGGCGGCGGCGGCGGCGGCGGCGGCGGCGGCGGCGGCGGGGGCGGGGGCGGCGGCGGCCGGGGCGGGGGCGGGGGCCGGGGCGCACGGCGCCGCCCCTCCCCCACCCCGCCGTGACGTCGCAGGCCTGGGCGACCTCGCGCTCGAGTTCGCTCACCCCGGCTGCCGCCGATCCGGGGCTGGCGGGGGCTGCGTGGGGTGGCCCCGATACCCGCCGGCGGGAGCTCGCTGGGTTTCTGGCCGCGCGCTGCGCCCGGCGGCCGCTGGGGGCCTGGGGGTGCGGAGCCGAGCGGGGCGGCCGGGGGCGAGGCGGGCAGCCAAGGCCGGCCCCTGGGAGGGGCAGTGCCGGGACCTCCCGCAGGAGCGCTGCCAGCTGGCCGGAGCAGCTCTTGGTTTGTTTTTGTGACGACTTTATGGAGCCGCAATTCACTTCCCGTGTAATTCGTCCACTTAACGTGAACGGTTGTGGGAGACCTGTGTACCCCTCCTCGCAGGCGTAGGAGGAGCGCTGCTTCACCTGGGAAAGGACCTCTACTGCTTCGTTTTCTCTGTGGAGTTCCCTGCTCTGGACGTTCCATGTGAACCTATATGCGGCCCCCCAATCTCACATACTCCTTTGTGACTGGCTTCTTGTATTCAGCATAACACTTTCAAGGTTTAGTGCGTCCTTGGGTATGTCCGTACTTCGTTCCTTTTTGTGGTGAATAACATTCCATTTTCTGGACATACTACATTCTCTATCCACTCATTAGTTGGTGAGTGTTTGGGTTATCACCTTCTGACACTGCCATTGTCCTTATGGCGGCTGTTTTTATGGTGGATGTTGCATCCAGTGGCCCACAGAGCTGGTTCGGCCTGCATGGTGGTACTTTAACACCCTTTGCTAAATCTACAATTAAAAATCAAAGAGTACATATGAATACTTTAGCTTCGTTGGGGGTAGATGTACTCATCTGCTTGATTCTCCTAAACCACAAGAGGCCCAAGGCCTTTGGAGGGGTCATAGGTGAGGATCTCCTACAGTTGAAGACGGGTCTGGGCCCAGGCCTGATCAGATGTGCATGGAGGTGGCAGCTGGCTCAGAGGCAGAGTGGCAGGAGGCCAGTTGCCCCTGCACACACATGCTCTGTGTCCTCTGGGTGCCCAGGGCCCAACTTGGAGGATTTATCTTGTAGGCAGTGGCACAATGAACAGGCAATCTGGCCTCAGCCCTGCTGCCCGCTGGCTCACGGAGGCGTGCTTCGGTTCCTAGGCCCGTGGATGCCCCTCTAGCACTTTTCAGTAGCTTGTGTCCCACAGAGAAACCTTGGGTGCTCACGTGCTGTCTTTTAAATAATCTAGATGAGGATGGAGACTTGGTTGCCTTTTCCAGTGACGAAGAACTGACCATGGCAATGTCCTATGTGAAGGATGACATCTTCCGCATTTACATTAAAGGTAAAGGTCTGATTTGGCTGCTGCTTGAAGCAGGATGCTTCTTGCTGAGTAAGACCTGTTTTGAGGTTTTGGAGAAATCCCTTCAAAGTAGTGGAGAAGAACCTGGGAGTGGTTTAAGACTGAGAATCACCTCAGTGCTTGGCCTGAGAAAGGAATCCCAACGACCACAAGGGGTGGGGCCTGAGGATCTCTGGGTTCTCTCTTGATTGTGCCCAGACTAAGGGGGCAGGAGGGGGCAGCTTTGGGGATACCCTGGGGGTTAACATGGGGCAGGGCCAAAGGTGTACAGACACAGCTCCCTGATGCTTGTCACTTGGCCTGGGCCACAAGTACCTGGATAACACAGGCACGGGACTGGGACCCTCCCAGCAGGTTCTCGGGTCCCTTTGTTGCTGTCCCTCCAATGGCTGAGTTCTGCATGGACTCTGTGTCTGGAGAGCAGGGCCGGGGGTCCTGCTACCTACAAGCTCCACAGTGGTGACAAATGGGAAACGTACAGGGTCCCACCTCATGGCTCTTTGTCCTCCCTGCAGAGAAGAAGGAGTGTCGGCGGGACCACCGCCCCCCATGCGCTCAGGAGGCACCACGTGGCCTGGTGCACCCCAATGTGATCTGTGACGGTTGCAATGGGCCAGTGGTGGGGACCCGCTACAAGTGCAGCGTCTGCCCGGACTATGACCTGTGTGCTGCCTGTGAGGGAAAGGGCCTGCATCGGGAGCATAGCAAGCTTGTCTTCCCCGGCACCTTTGGGCCCTTCTCAGAGGTGAGTGGGGCTTCTCTGCAGGCTGGGTGGGCACCGGGTGCAGGGAGGCATCCTCTGTTCTGGTGTCACTCTACCCCTCTGCTACCTCCTCTCTAGGGCTTTTCTCATAGCCGCTGGCTCCGAAAGCTGAAACACGGGCACTTTGGGTGGCCTGGCTGGGAGATGGGCCCACCAGGGAACTGGAGCCCGCGTCCTCCCCGGGCTGGGGATGCCCGCCCTGGCCCTGCAGCAGAATCAGGTGAGGCTTGTATTTGTGGGCTTCTGTGGCGGGAGCTGTCAGGGCTGGGAGAGCTGGAGGGCCTTTCCCATGTTTTGTGTGGCTGCTGAGCCTGTGGCTGGGGCAGGGGGGTGGGGGGCTTAATCCTCAGCCTTGCAAAGTGGGGAGCGTCCTCTTCATTTCGCACACAGGACATTTCGCGCACACTGATGGCCCATGGCCGCTGATTCACCTGCACCAGATTTAGACTTGGCCCAGATGTGGCTCAGTCCTAAATCACACCCCATCTTGTCAAGCCTTTTTATTTTTATTTTTTTTTAAGTAAGCTTTATACCTAGCTGGGAGCTTGAACCCACGACCCTGAGATCAAGCATTGTATGTTCTACTGTTTGAGCCAGCTGGGCATCCTGCTCAAATATTTTTAAACGTATTCACAGAGTTAAATACTTAACATATAACTTGTGTTTCAGAATTTTAGATTCTGGCTTTATTCTAAATTTATTAATTTTTCTGTTCCTCTGGTTTACCTTGTTCTTTGGAACCAAGGTGAGGAGGTTTGTTTGATATTTGACATCTGAGCTAGAATGGGGTCCATATTTCATACCCCATGCAGTGAATCCCCCTCGGCTTCTGAACAGCAGTGTCACAGAGCAGCCCAGGATGGTGGGGATGGAGGGGCAGGGTCCCAGGGATGGATGGGCCCTGTGATGAAGGTGATGTGATTGTAACAGGTGTTCAAGTCCTTGAGAAATCTGCTTTGAATTGAATGTTTTTGTTTCTTTGAAAACCAAAGTTTCTGGTCCATCGGAGGATCCCAGTGTGAATTTCCTCAAGAATGTCGGGGAGAGTGTGGCGGCTGCCCTGAGCCCTTTGGGTAAGTGGCTGCCTCTGTCCTTTGGGAGTGGCAGCAACTCCGAGTGCTGGGTGATGGGTGGCTTTGGGCGGCTGGCCCCTGGGTTGCTGTAGAGGAATGCTAACTTCCGTGCCCTTGTAGCGTCACATAGGCCTTTGCCATAGCGCGGCACTGCAGGCCACTCATTTGAATTCCTGACAGTTTCTTGAGCTTTCCCCATGGAATAAAGTGGAATCAGAGAGTGGTTGGTTGGGATAATCCCAGTAGGCTGAGCTACGGGCTTGGCCTGTCAGCCTCTGACTGTTCTTCCCACAGAGGACAGTATTCTCCTCACCTCCACCCTACAAACAGCCCAGGGTTTACTCAAGGACTTGGGTGAGTCATTAGCTGAGAGGCCATTTCTCTTTTCCTCCCTTTTGTCTTTTGCAGTACCAGCCTTTTTGGTGCTTGCCAAGTACCAGACTTGTGCCCATGCTAGGGAGCAGGGCATGAGGGAGGCGGGAGTTCTATATGATGCCCAGTACCTGGCCCTCAGTTCAGGTGTGAGGTGTCTGGGTGGGTGAACCAAAGCAGGTGCCCCCAAGTGGTGAGCCTGGCCCAAGGCTTTAGAAGGCACCTGTTGTATCTGCAGCCCTGACGGTGGTCGCTGCAGGGCTGGGCCCTGTGGCAGTGGGAGTCCATGACAAAGGTGATCTCTGGTGCAAGATTACAGCAGGTCCATGATCTTTGCCTAGAAGAGCGCTCACCTCTGTGACTGCGGTGGCAGGAAGTGTCCGCTCAGGTGGCCTAGAAGGCCTGTCCGAAAGGATGCAGATGGGAAGGGAGGCAGGACTGCTCTTGCCTCCCACTGGATACCGTTTCAGCTGCCACTCCTTAAGGCCAGGACACAACTTCAAAGCAGCAGTGATGTCCTGGCCTTGCTGCTCCGTGAAACAGCTCAGACCATATACTGTTTTTGGGACTGGAGTCAAAGGCTCTTTAGAGAAAGTGAAAAGAGAGCTGATGTTCTTAGTGCTTTCTAAGGAGGATAAAAGTGGAGCAGTGATTAGGTCATAATCGGGAGATAAGCCTAGTGCTAAACCCCAGCTGCCACTTGAGATGTGGTGACGAAAGCACGAGGCTGTGTTGAACTTTGAGAGATGGTCCTCTAACGGGTTGTGATTTAAGGGCACGGGAAGCTGTGCAGAATCCCAGGTCAACATTCTGGATCCTGGTAAATTAGTCTTGGGTTGGGCCTGGGATCTGTGTGTTTTGAAGGCTTGCCAGTGACTTTGGGTCACACTTGCTGTCCATCCTGAGGCCCATCTGCGCTGGGGGCATGTTTCAGAGCTTGACCCAAATTCCCTACACAGGACTTAACGGGAATAATTTTGGCAGTGCTCAGAGGTGTTGTAGGATAAGGGTAAAGGCCTTTTCAGGTCTTTCAAAGTGGATGGAGTTACTTTGTACCAACTTGAGAGGAGCCTAGAGCTGTCCAGAAAAACAAGGGAAGTTTCAGTAAGTATGCTTTTGAGGGTTTCAGTTGAGGAGGGCCACTTGAGGAATTTATTCAACTCTAGAGTTATAGGTATTTTCCTTTGTTACAAGGAACTGACAGCTAGGATGACTCATCCTGCTAACTGCCTAGAAGGGACTGTTCCCAGAGCAGGGGCCCAGAGGGACAGCCAGTAATACCTCCCAGAGGGCAGGCAGACTGTGTGCAGTGACTCAGCGGTTTCAAAGTAAAACCCCAAGACCTTGTTTGGTAGGTGTCATAAGAACCAGCTGAGCGGGTCTACCATGGAGTCACAGGACTGCTCTGGCTTGGGTTTGTAGTCACTGATTCCTTTACAAAGGTCCTGTCATTTGTTCACACAGAAAAGTTAGACGGTATATGGGTGTTCACTCAGTATATGGGTATATACTGTTCTTCCAACTTTTTTGTTTGGTTGAACCTTTCCTTTTTTCTTTAAAGGTTTATTTCTTGAGAGAGTGTGTGTGCAGGTGTGGGGGAAGGGCAGAGGGAGAGAGAATCCCAAGCAGACTCCCAGCTGAGCACTAAGCTGGACACATGGGGTTTGAGATTAGGACCTGAGTTGAAACCAGGGGTTGGAAACTCAACCTACTGAGCCATCCAGGTGCCCCTGCTTGACCCTTTCATGATGAAAAGTTGGAGGGAGGGGGCATCTGAGTGGCTTAAACATCTGTCTTTGGCTCAGGTCATGATCCCAGGGTCCTGGGACTGAGCCTCACACTGGGCTCCCTACTCAGCGGGGCGTCTGCTTCTCCCTCTGCCCCTCCACTTGTGTTCTCTCTTGCTCTCTCTCTCTTTCAAATAAATGAATAAATCTTAAAGAAAAAAAAAAAGTCGGAGAGAGGGTAAAAGGAGAAAAGGGACTTAAATATTGCAGATGGGAGTATTGGTAACTAAGCCTGTCTTTATCTCTATTTGCTCCTCACTCTACCAAAGTGACAATAAGGGGATTAAACACAAGAGTATAAAGCAACACAGACAAAGAAAAAGGAAAGTCCTAGATGACGAGGTAAGATGACCTTAAACTTTGAAAGACAAGCAGTGGATTTTGAGGGTGGTGAGCAACTGTGTGGAGGCATCAGAGGCCAGGGAATTGGGGGTGTTTGAAGACCAGTCTTCAGAATCCTGTAGCCATTACTGGCTGGTCAGCCGAATGATGGTCCCTGCCATCCCAGGCATGAGACCTGATGGTTAGATGCTGGAGGGCACAGGGCGAGGCGGCAGCCTGAGTGAGCAGTCGGTCCAGCAGGGGCTGAGGTGTCCCTGCTCGGGAGAGGCCATGCGTGCCAGGGCAGTGTCCTGTAGCTCTGCCACCCAGGATCCCACTGCCTGGCCAGGTGCCCCATCACCCTCCAGAGGAAAGCGAATCATGGCCCTGGCCCCTCGGGGTTCCTCCTGGCAGCCTCCTCTTAATGCCTTGCTAGGATCAGACTGCCGTGGTTGCCAGCCGTTGGGGAAAAATCGCAGCGTATGGACAAGGAGGAACATGGGGAAGGATGAGAGTGTCCGCATCCTCCATGAGATCCAAATAAGTACTTCCATCCTTGATAGAAGAACAGGATACCATAGAAATGATAACAGATTTATAGAGAACAGATTAATAACATTTCCTGGGAATTAAGAAAAATAAGATAAAAAAAACTTCAAGAGAAGGCTTAGGTTTTAAGGTCATTTCAAGGAAATGTTCTAAAAACAAGAGGTGAGGAGAGTGAAAAGGTGAGAAGGTCTGAGAGTTAGTTCTGGAAGGCCCAGTGTAGGAGGTATTATAGGAGTTTGAGGAAGAGAGAGCAGATAGAAGTGAAGGAAGGAAGGAAGGAAGGAAGGAAATGAACAGAAGACCATGTCAGCCCAGAGGACGTGAACCTCTGGATTGAGGGGACTCCGCAGTGCCTTGGACAGTGACCAGAAAGATCCCTCACCAGAGATCATTGTCCCGTCCCAGAACCCTCTAGAGACAGGGAGGCTCTGGAAAAGCCCTAGGTGGCAGAGCTCAAAGAGCCAGTGCAGGAGACTGTGGAACACCACCAGTGACTTCAGAAGTCTGAGTTGAAATGGTTGTTAACCTAGGATGCTATGCTCAACTGAAGCTGCCTCCTGTGAGGCCAGAACAAAGCTGCTCTCAGGTGTGCAGGGTCTTCATCATCTTACCTTGGCTTGAACCCCCCCCCCCCCCACCGAAAGGAAGAAAAACCCAGAATGGAGAAGGCGCTGCAAAGTGGGACCCAGTACCTGAGCCAGGGTGGCTGGTGCCAGGCAGAGAGGAAGGGCTGTCACCATGTAGCTGCTGTACCTCTGCCCTGGAGGACCTGCCAGTCCAGGGCAGGAGCCGGAGGTGGTGCTGAGGAGGTGGTCTCCGGGGATACGTGAGCTGCAGGGTGTCTAGTACTTAGCCCATGTGGCAGTTGTGGAAAGCTGTTGCACAATACAGGGCGAGTTAGCAAAATGAGAAGAGCAGGCATTGTTGATGCTATAAAAACAAAAGCCCCGCAAGGAAATAAGTGCAGTCTGGGCAAGTAGAGAACCAGATCTATATAGTGGCGGTAAAACAAACAGTGTTGTTTTCACTAAAAGTTAAGTTTTTGAAAGGACGGGAAGGGGGAGGTGTGTGTAGATCTAGAACAAGAAGCAGTAAACGTGAGTCAAAGGAAAGGCAGTGTGGATTGAAAGCTGTCTGGGGAGCAGGTGGGCTGTGTGGTGGGTGCCAGGAATCTTGGCTAGAGCCTTCTGGAACCGTCTCTTAGCTGTGGGCCTGTTGTCCTTTGATAAGTGAGGCCATGTGTGGGCCTGCGCTTCTGGCCTTGTGGGCTCCGCCAGGGCAGAGCAGGATGCCTGTGGTCACTGTGCGTGTGTTTTGTGGCACCAGCCACCCCCTCCCCCCCGCCCCAGCTAAGTGTTAGGCTTCGTATGGTCCTGGTGGCGTGGCTGGGGGCTCTGGCCACGGGTGGTGTTTGGCTTCCTGTTCCTCACTTGCTGTCTACGCTGGGGAAAATGGGCTCTTGCTGGGGTTCCTGGCTCCAGAGCTGACCGGGATGTTAGCAGAGATTAAGGTTCCATTAGGCTGAAAGTGGAGGAAGGTCTGGTGAGGTGGCTGAGTCTGTGGACATTTTCTAGGGGCCAGGTTTGGGGCCCGGGTATTGGGAGCCAGTAAGCCCCGGGGATCCTGAAGGCCCGAGGTGACCAGCCGTTTGCCTTGGGGCCAGTGCAGTGGCCCCATGCCCAGGTCCCACACTGGCTGTGCGACTCTCGGGTCTGTGGTGGCGCCGCCGTCCCAAGCCCCAAGCGCATGTACTGTGGCCCTGGCCAGGAGGCCCTTGGGCCGGCTCCAGGTTGAGCTTCCCCCTTGGTGTCTGCAGGCATCGAAGTGGACATTGACGTGGAACACGGAGGGAAGCGAAGCCGCCTCACCCCCGTCTCGCCAGGTGGCTCCAGCACGGAGGACAGGGGAAGCTCTCAGCCCAGCAGCTGCTCTTCCGATCCCAACAAACCCGATGTGGATCGGGATCCGGAGGGCACCGCACAGGCGCTAGCTGAGCAAATGGACAAGGTTGCCCTGGAGTCGGGGCCGCCCGAGGCGAGTACCCGCCCAGGCCGGGGCTGTCGCTGTGTACTCTTTCTCTCTGGGCCCTGGGCATAGCTGACCCAAGCATGTCCTGGTCGGAGTGCCGTTGGTAGCGCTGATGTCATTCTGTGACCCCACTGCTAGAACTTTCCTCCTGTGGCCTTCACGCTTGGTGCTCCCAGGAACGGAGGCTGGGGGCAGGCGAGCTGGTGCTTGTGTGCTCACGGGTGGTTCTGTTCCAGGAACAGATGGAGTCTGATAACTGCTCAGGAGGAGACGAAGACTGGACTCATTTGTCTTCAAAGGAAGTGGACCCGTCCACAGGTGAACTGCAGTCTCTACAGATGCCTGAATCCGAAGGGCCCGGTTCCCTCGGCTCTTCTCAGGAAGGGCCCACAGGACTGAAGGAGGCTGCTCTGTACCCGCATCTGCCACCAGGCAAGTGATTTCAGGCAGTGTCCTTTTTTTTCTCCAGACCATCCTGTTCCCTCCTAGCATTTGGAACTGGAATCTCGCTGGCAGTGGGACTTAGAAGCACAGAGGCCCAGGAGCAGGGGTCATAGCCGGGGTCCTCCCCCCGTGGAGGAGGTAGTGAGGCCACATGGGGACTGTGGCTTTGAGGGCACATGCTGAAGAGAAGCAGCGGGATGCCATGCTCTGATTGTCATGGTCACAAGATGACGGTGTGTCAGAATAACACAGGTGAAAACCCACCCTTTGGGTTCTGGGTGTTCATCTTGTCTGCACCAGGGCAGGGGGCAGCAAGCTGTCACAGGCCAGCAATGATTTTTTTTTTTCATTTTTATAATGTTTGGAAAAGATCAGGATGTAAAAATTGTATGAGGTGAAAATTTCAGCGTCCAAAATAGAAGTCATGCTGAAGCACAGCCCCACTCCTGTTTACAAGCTGCCTGGCTGTTCTGTTGTGGTGCAGAGGCGAGCACACCCCACAGAGCAGCTTAGCGGATTCACCCTCAGCCCTTTATGGGAAGAGCTTGTCAGAGGCTGTGTGTGTGGGGGGGGAGGTGAGAGAAGAGCTTGTCAGGCTGCGTGTCCGTGCACGCGCACGCACCACGAGGGTCAGCGAACCTATGGAGGGCTGGCTTGTGGCACTGCGGCGTGCTCACTGGCTGGCCGGGCTGTACCCCGAGCTGCTTCTCATGGCTCTGTCCTCTCTCTGGCAGAGGCTGACCCCCGGCTGATCGAGTCGCTCTCCCAGATGCTGTCCATGGGCTTCTCTGATGAAGGTGGCTGGCTCACCAGGCTCCTGCAGACCAAGAACTACGATATTGGGGCGGCCCTGGACACCATCCAGTATTCAAAGCATCCGCTGCCGTTGTGACAGCTTTCACTCTCTGTTCTGTCCCCCTTCTTGACTCCTAGTTGTGATGAGATAGTGTAGAACAGCCGGGCCTCTCTGGTGGCCAGTTTTTTTGCATTCTTCTTCCAGAATCTGGGGGGCGGGGATGCATGCAGCCCTAGAGGGCCACAGAACAGGTGACAGGAGGGGGAGGCCTGAGTGCGGGTGCTGATGGCCACGCAGCATTTCCCAGCTTTCCCGGGGTGTCCTGAAGCTTCCGGGGGGGGGGGGGCGCTTGTCAGGGAGGACGGGGAGGGCAGATAGCATATTCCTGCTCCACCCACCCCACCCCTATCCCTCCTCTCCCTGGATTACACCAGCAGTCCACAGCGTCTTGCCTATGGCCTTCTGTTTTTTTTTTCCTTTTCAATGACAAATAGTAGGCTGACCTGTAGTTGATTTTGTGCTAGAAACCTGATCGGCTCCAAGTTTAGACTGAGTACAACCAACATCCTGTTGGCTGGGGTAGGAGCGGGTCCTGGAGGGCAGGGCAGTCCCAGGACTGGGCTTCTGGAATCCCGTGGTCCTGAGGGGCCAGTGCTCACAGAATGCTGTCTGCTCCATAACGACTCTACCCTCATTTCCGAACCTGTTGCTTTTAAAAAGGAGATCCCTTTGTAACCATCCTATTGCTATGTTGTAAACAACCTGTAATTAAATGGTAAAAGCACTTTAATCAAAGATGCTGCAACCAGAGATGACCTGATAGTTTGTCCTTTTTGATAGTTCCCATAAATCATCCCAGTCCAGTTTTTTTTTTTTTTTTAAAGATTTTATTTGAGAGTGTGAGCTAGAGAGAGCATGAGCAGGGGGAAGGGGGGGGGTGGGGGCAGAGGGAAAAGCAGGGAGCCCTCTTCCATTGGCTGATCCCAGGACCCCAGGATTGTGATGCAGATGCTTAACCTCCTGAGCCATCCAGGTGCCCCCCACCCCCAGTCCCATTTAAAAGCTAATCCGGGAGCCCCTTTTCAGTGGCCGAGGTGCCTAGTGGAGCAGGGCTCATGTAACTTGTGCCCATGTTGGTAACATTCTTATTCCAGCTCACAGGTCATCCTCAAAGTCCTCACCAGTTTTAAAGAGGTCACACAGCTGCACAAGTGGGGGCTCCTGCCCTCCTGTGACCAAGGGTCTACCCTTTGCCAGAGGACCAGTGTCCCAGGGCTGTTTGGGGGTCTTTAGGCAGGGCCTCTGTGACCTGGACAGGAGTGTGGGGGGTTCCCAGGGAAGCTTGGGTGTACTGCAGGGCCTGCCGGGGCACCCTTTGCTCACGGTCTGGGCCCAGAGGGTCCCCTGCTCAGCCAGTGCTGCCCTGGCTGGCCTAGGGTTTTTTGGCAGGGTTCCTGGGAGCCCTGTGTCCACATGGGGGCCATTTCCAGGCGGCAGAAGAAATTGTTCGGACTTGGAAGATACGGCCCTGACCTGTGGGGCTGGACGTGGAGGACCCCCCTGAAGAACAGCAAGCTCCCTGGTGCCCCTGTTCTGGTGACTGCCATCTTCTCTGACCTTCCCTGCCAGGCCAGCATGGTCCTGCAATGGAAACAAGAGACCATGTCCTGTGTTGACAGAAGGCTGCCTGCACCGCTGCTTCTACCTTTCCATCGGCATCCTCACACTTTTCTCTCGGTTCTGCCTACGCCCTCGTTCTCAGGCTCGCAGGCTAGGGATCTGCTTTCACTGGGTGGTTTAGCAAAGCAGGGCAAGTGATTGTTCCTACCTCAACTCCTCTGCCAGGTTCCACGACCAGGAATCAGGAGTGTGAAAGCAATGACTGGCCGGACAGTGCCCCCTATCCAAGGCTAGTGTGGAAGAGGCTTGTGGTCAGTTGGTACAGATGAGAGGACCATCAGCTCTGCCCCTGACCTGCTGCGACCTCACTGAACTACTATGCAGCCTGAGTTTGTCACTTTCAAAAGAAACTATGCTGATGGGAGCATTCCCCATGATGACCAGTTCAAATGTTAACCTAGGGCCCGCACATCAGTAACTGTCATTATTCCAGCCCTTGGACATTCAGCTGGTGGCAACATCAAAGGTTGACCTTTGCACTATTGCTCAAGTTGGCCAGGCTGGCTGGCGCCCAGCAGAGATCAATCCTCTGCCTTAGTGCCCTGGCTCCTGTGACAGACTAAAGCAGACCTGCATTCTGTGGCCTTAAAATGCAGTGGGGTCTGCTGGGTTTGGAGCCTCCAGAAGGAGCAGAAATGTGGGGAGGTTGGTGGAGGTGTAGGGTAGAGGGATCCCAAGCTTACCTTGTACCATGGACACACCAAGGCAGCAACTCCATGTACTATAACTAGCTGAGAATGCTGCGAAGCATGGTAGGACAGACTCCACAGCAAGGTCACACCAAAAAGGGTAGGAGTCATGGAGGGGCAGTTGGGAACCAAACCCCTAGAGTGGCCACAAACAAGAGGGCCCTCACCAGCTCAGAGGAGCCAGGGGGATCGGACCCCACACTCAGCATGGCCATGAGGGCCTGTACGGGGAAGACGAGTCCCTAGATCACATCTGGCTTTGAAAATCCGAGGCTTGCCACAGCTGGAGGGTGACAGGAAACCAAGTCTCTGCCCTTGAAGAGCCAACATGCTAAATAACTCGGCCCGACATAGCACAGAAATAAGTCTGAAAAAGCAGCTGGTATATATGTGAAGATTTACTAATTTTACAATGTGTGCTGGAGGAGCAGGGAGCTGCAGATTTCTCCTGGAAGAAAAGTGCTGGCGGGCACCATTATATCTGCCCTCCCCCAACCTGGGTAACTGGATGCTTGTGGGAGCCAGTTATGGCTCCATATGGTGTGCTAGCACTGCCCTGGGGGTGGGGGAGGGGCAGAGACTATCCCACATACCTGTTCTGGCCTCTTGGCTAGCTATGTGGAGAGCAGGCCTGGCGCTCTGGTGTACCTACAGTTGTTGCAGTGGCTAACTGGACAGCCAGGCCAGGGCCTGGCCCTGCTCATAAGTATCCATGGCGGTTGCAGCTAGGCCTCTCAAAAGTGCAAGAAACAAATCATGCCCCATATATCTGCAGCAAGTGATGTGGGTGACTGCAGCCAGCCCCACCTGCACACATGCCCATAGCATCTGCAACTCTGTCACGACAGTGGGGCACACAGCTCACACAGGACACTCACAGAACCATCCCATGCTGCTTCTGCTGACAGGGATTGTGTTCTAGGGCAGCACAGGAATAAAGCCACTATTTTTAAGAGCAGGAGACCTACCTGACCTACCTAATACATAGAAACCGAATTAGACAAAATGAGACAAAGGACTATATCCCAAATGAAAGAACATGACAAAACCACAAGAGAAAGGTGAACAAAATGGAAATAAGGGATATGCTGGATAAACAGCCAAAGGAATGGCAGCAAGTAAAGAGATGCTTGCCAAATTTATGAGATCAGTGGGTGAACTGGGTGAGAAAGTCAATAAAGAGATAAAAATGGGGGATCCCTGGGTGGCACAGTGGTTTGGTGCCTGCCTTTGGTCCAGGGTGCGATCCTAGAGACCCGGGATCGAGTCCCACATTGGGCTCCCGGTGCATGGAGCCCGCTTCTCCCTCTGCCTGTGTGTCTCTGCCCCCCCCCCCCGTATCATAAATAAATTAGTTAAAAAAATTTAAAAAAAATGATAAATATAAATACACTAGAGGGAGTTGGCAGCAGATCAGAGGATGTGGAAGAGCCAATGAGCAACCTGGAAGACAGGGTAATGAAAGCAACCACCATGAACAGAAAAAAAGAATAATAAAAATGAGACTAGGTTAGAGGACCTCTAAGATCTCAGCAAGCTTTATCACATTCACATTATACAAGTCTCAAAAGGACAAGAGTGATGGGGCAGAAAACTTACCTGAAAAAACAAGAGCTAAAAAAGTCCCTAATCTGGGAAGGAGATAGATCTCTAGGACCAGGAAGCACAAAGAGCCCCAAACATGATCCCACACAAGACAAATAAGATGGCGAAAATCTTAAAAGCAACCAGAGAAAGCAAACATACATAGAAGGGAAACCTACTAAGGTTGTATGCTGATTTTCAGCAGAGACTACAAGGCAGAAGAAAGTGGAATGACACATTCCAAGTGCTGAAAGGAAAAACCCACAGCCAAGAATTTTCTACGTGGTAAAGTCATCATTCAGAGTGAAGAAGAGCTAAAGAGTTTCACAGACAAAACTCAAAGGAGTTCATCACAACCAAATCAACTGTAACAAGAGACAAAGTCATGACATAATGATAAAAGGATCAGTCCAACAAAAGGATATAAGAATTGTAGATCTCTATGCACCCAATATAGGAGGAGCACCTACACACATAAAGCAAATATTAGCAGACCTAGAGGAAAAAGTTGACGGTAATACAGTAATTTTGGGGCCTTTAACACCTCATTTACATCAATAGATTATGTCCACACAGAAATTAAGGAAATGGTGGCTTTCAAGGACAAATTAAACCAGATATACTTAGCAGATATATAGAGTATTCCATCCAAGAAAAGCAGAATACACATTCTTTTCAAGTATACATGGAACTCTCTCCAGGATAGATCACATGTTAGGCTACAAAACAAGTCAATAAATTTAAGAAGATTGATATCATATTAAACATCTTTTCCAACCACAACCATATGAAACAAATCAATTACAAGAAAAAAACTGGGGGCACCTGTGTGGCTCCGTGGTTGAACGTTTGCCTTTGGTCAGGGCATGATCCCGGGGTCCTGGGATCAAGCCCTGTGTCAGGATCCCTGCGGGGAGCCTGCTTCTCTCCCTCTGCCTGTGTCTCTCATGAATAAATAAAAATCTTAAAAAAACAAAACAAAAAACTGGAAAAAACAAAAACACATGGAGGCTAACAACCAATAGGTCAACCAAGAAATCAAAGAGGAAATATAAAAATACATGGAGAAATGAAAAACACAACAGTCCAAAATCTTTGGGATGCAGGAAAAGCAGTTTTAAGAGGGAAGGTTATAGCAATATAGCCCCCCTCAAAAACAATAAAAATCTCAGGGGTGCCTGGCTGGCTCAGTTGGGTAAGTGTCTGGCTTCAGCTCAGGTCATGATCCCAGGGTCTCAAGATGGAGCCCCATGTCAGGCTCCCTACTCAGTGGATAGTCTGCTTCTTCCTCTCCCTCTCTCCCTTACCCTGCACATGTTCTCTCTCTAATAGCTAAATATTAAATGGTGCCAAAGTGAAAGCTGTTCTTCTAAGACATCAGTAATAAGACAAGTATGTCCATTCTCACTACTTTTATTCAACATAGTACTGGAAGTCCTACCACAGCAATCAGACAAGGAAAAGAAATAAAAGGCATCCAAATTGGTAAGGAAGAAGTAAAACTGTCATGATTTGCAGGTGACATGATATTTTATATAGAAAATCCTGAAGACTCCACCCAAAAATTATTAGAATAAATGAATTCAGTAAAGTTAATAAATGAATATATAGAAATCTGTGGTGTTTCTATATACTAATAGCAGAAATAAAAATTAAGAAAACAAACTCATTTATGACTGCATCAAAAAGAAAAAATACTTAGGAATAAATTTAGCCAGAGGTGAAAGGCTTACACTCTGAAAACTGTAAGACACTGACTGATGAAAGAAACTGAAGATACAAACACATGGAAAGATAAACCAAGCTCATGGACTGGAAGAATCAATACTGTTAAAATATCCATACTACCCTAAGCAATCTATGAAATTCAGTGCAATCCATGTGAAAATAACAATACTATTTTTAACAAAACTAAAACAAATAATCCTTAAATTTGTTTCGAATCCAAAAGACCCTGAATAGCAAAAGCAAAATTGAGAAAGAAAAAACCTGGAGATTTAACAATCCCAGATTTCAAGATATATTACAAAGGTATTGTAATCATAACAGTATGGTACTAGCACAAAAACAGACATACAGATCAATGGAACATAATAGAAAATCCAGAAATAAACCCATAATTATATGATCAGATAATCAAGGACATAGGAGGCAAGAATATACAATGTGGAAAAGACAGTCTCTTCAATGAAAAGTGGTGGGAAAACTGGGCCATTTTCTTAACAGTACGAAAAAATAAACTCAAAATGGATTAAAGACCTAAATGTGAAATCTGAAACCATAAAACACCTAAAAGAAAACATAGGCAGTAAAGTGATGGACATTGGTGTTAGCAATATATTTATGGTTATGTCTCCTCAGGAAAGGGAAAAAAAGCAAAAATAAAATACTGGGAGTATATAAAAATAAAAAGCTTTTTGCACAGTGAAGGAAGACATTAACAAATGAAAAGGCAACATATTGAATGGAAGAAGATAGTTACAAATGATGTATCTGAAAAAAGGGTTAATATCCTTAACATACAAAGAATTTATAATACAACTCAACACTAGGGATGCCTGGGGAGCTCAGCAGTTGAGCATCTGCCTTTGGCTCAGGGTGTGATCCTGGGGTCCTGGGATCGAGTCCTGCGTCGGGCTCCCCACAGGGAGCCTACTTCTCTCTCCCTCTGCCTATGTCTCTGCCTTTCTGTGTCTCTCATGAATAAATAAAATCTTAAAAAAAAAAATACAACTCAACACTAAATTCCCAAATAACCCAATTAAAAAACGGGCAGAGAACCCAAACAGATATTTTTCCAAAGACCTACAGATGGCTAACAGACACATGAAAAGATGCTCAACACCACTGATCATCAGGGAAATACAAATCAAAACCACGATTTGCTATCATCTCACACCTATCAGAATGGTTAGTATCAAAAAACACAAGATATAACAAGTATTGGGGAAGATGTGGAGAAAAGGGAACTCTTGTGTGTTGTTGGTGGAAATGTAAATTGGAGCAATCACTGTGGAAAACTGTATGGAATTTCCTCAAAAAATTAAAAATAGAAATACCATATGATCCAGTAATTTCATTACTGGGTATTTATTCAAAGAAAGCAAAAACACCAATTTGATGTTTTTTGTTGTTGTTTTGTTTTTTAATGACAGACAGACAGAGAGGCAGAGTCACAGGCAGAGGGAGAAGCAGGCTCCATGCAGGGAGCCCGACGTGGGATTTGATCCTGGGTCTCCAGGATCACACCCCAGGGCCGAAGGCAGCACCAAACCACTGGGCCACTGGGGCTGCCCAAAAACACCAATTTGAAAAGATATATGCATTCCTATGTATACTGCAGCATTATTTACAATAGTCCTAATATGGAAGCAGCCCAAGTGGCCACCAATAGGTGAATGGAAAAAGACAATGTGGTATATATCAACATAAGGGTAGCAACATATATGCTACTCAGCCATAACAAAGAACTCATATATAGAACTGGTAGTTGCCCAAAGGGAAGGGGCTGAAGGGATGGGCAAGATAGGTGAAGAAGATTAAGAGGTAGAAACTTCCAGTGATAAGTCAAGGAGATGAAGACTCTACATAGGGAATACAGTCAATAATACTGTAATAACGTAGACCGACAGATGATGACTGCCACGGTGAGCACTGATGTATATACTGAATTGTCCGAACCACCATGTTGTAACCTGAAACTAACATACCATTGTAGGTCAGACACCAGACTTCAATAATAAAAAGAAGAGCTGATTGTAGGTGAAGACAGTGCTTCAGTGCAAAAGAACATGCCTGGGTAAGTGAAGACGAAGATGGGAACAGTTGCTCAGAAGTCAAGGGCAGGTCCCTTGTGGGACAATCTGGCAAAGACCCTTCACTCCACATTGAGGGACGAGAATGATCCTGACTCAGAAAAGCCTTACTGGTCAACCTTGGTTGATTCCAAGGCATCAAGCTGTCCTTTTGACCAGGAGCTCATATCACTGAGATTGGGCATGGCAGAGAAATAAATGGTCAGGCCAGAGAAAGGAACTGGCTTAAGTCAGAGCAGACAAAACACTCGGGTATTAAACAAGTCTGTGTGTTCAGTGGTTACTGGGACCAGAAAAGAAACGCTATCCTCAGTCACTGACCTTCTGGGGCTCCAAGGTAACCTCAGAGTCACTCACGTTCTGGACATCTGGGCTGTGTGAAGGCTGGACTGTGCTCTGGCTCCATTTCCTGGTGGAGAGAAAGCACTGTCAAGAATCCAGTGCTATCACCAACAGGGTCCCAATGCTAACGCCTGGAGTGACCACCCAGCACAAGTAGGGACCTCGTCCTCCCATACAGCTCCCCCCAGGTGGCTGCTCAGCTTCTGCTCCACTGCCAATAGCAGTCTGCCCCACAACCTCCAAGGCAGTCTGTTTCTCTGCTCCATAGTCTGTAGTTGCTACAAAGTTCTTATTTTGCATTGGAATCTACCTCCCAGTGTCCCTTGCCCTATAGGAGCCATCTTGGGTCTAGCTAAGGCAATGTCTTAGAAGGCTCACTGAAATGCAGAGAAAGCCTAGGGAAGAGTCTTATAAAAGGTCAGGCTTTCCTGCTGTAGGCTAAAGCTCACAGAATCATAAGCTACTCTGGCCACACTTCACTTTGTCAACTCTGCCCCTAAAGTACACTCTTTCTTGAGGTCAGTGCAGTCACAATTAAGTGACCACCACCAAGGTGCCCATGCTGGCGTTCCACCCAACCCTCCTCTGCATGGCAGCACCTGGTGCGCAGCAAGGCCAAGGAGGGCTTGGTGGTGATGGTACCTGCCAGCTAGTGCCATGCAGGCTTCTTCTGTGCTGCTGACTGCTAGGGCTGCTCATCACTGCCCCCATCATGGGTCACTGTGGGTATGGGGTGATGGCTGCTGGATTAGTGACTTGTTTGGCACCTTTTTCTAGGCAGGCCTGTGTTGAAGGGAGGGTCTGGTGTCTCTGTCCCAGGCAAAGACTGTCTCTTGAAACACACTCCTTTTTCCATTCCCAGTTCTTTTGAGTCTCTTTCCAGATACTTCAGCCAGCGGTTCTCTGAGGACTGAGGTTTTTCCTACAGGATTGGGAAGTAAGTTTATTCTCAGGACTCTCACCTACCCTGTCACCAGGAAAGGCATTTTGCTGGAAGGCAATGGGGAGATGGATGTCCTGAGGCACCACTGGGGACCAGGCACACTGGCACAGGTCCTGGGAAAGCCACAGGGTACAACTCATCAAGGAACTTTACAAATGTCCATGCTCCCTGACCTACGGCTTCCAAATGAAGACAAAGGCACAAAGATGCTTGTCAAGGTGATATAAATCTTAGCACATACTTACCGTAGCAAAAATCTGGAAATGATCTACATGCCAAATCATCATGGAATAAATATTGATACACTACTATATCTTGTAGATATAGCACATCACTGAAAATTCTACAGCAACAGAAGACCAGCAGGAGTGCAAACTCTAGGATGCAAACCAGGGTTTTTTGTAATGATGAAGCTGTAATATTAAGTCCCTAAGTGGACAAGACTGAAAGTACAGAACCAAATATGTGAAAGCTTCTATGTTAAAGTGGTGTATGAGCAATGCTCCCATTTATAATACAAATATGAGGGGCGAGCAGAGGGAGGACGTTGCCAGTGTGATTCTGTGAGCAGAGGCGGGCTCTGTCCTCAGGTGGGCAGGGAGCCTCAGACAGCTGTTCCCACGCCCCCGCCCCTGGCAGGACACAGTGTTCCATGTACCCAGCACCCTGGATGTACCAATGGTGTCACCTCCTCAGTCACCCAGGCTCTTCTCCTGCCTACGCAACACTGTCTGAGCATCTACTTTACTATGCACTGGGGCAGAAAGCTGGATGCGAGCCCTGCTGAGAGGCTTGGGTTGGAGAAAGGAACATGAATGGCAGGTCCTCAGCAGCAGCATCAGCATCATCTTTTTACTATCAGAGGTGTGCCCAGAGTGTGACAGGGAGTATTGGTACACATGGCTGTGTCCACCCTTATGACAGGGGTGGGTTTACTCCCTCCTCTGTTGGCTATAGCTCCAAGCCAAGTGTCTGTTATCGATAGCATTTGTTCAACAAAAGACCAGCAAATGAATAAGTGGACCACCCCCCCACCCCCACCATGACACTCACCTGCACACTCTCATGCTCGGCATTCCCAGGCCGAGCATTTCCTGCATTTTCCTCATCAACATTTACAGGCTCTTCCAGAAACCTTAGTGAAAGAATGTATGTATGTCCTTAGTGAAATGACCAGGGGATGAAGAGCAAGGAGATGGAACAGCAGGATGTAAATACCTGATACCAAAGACTGCTCTAGGGGATCTTAGGATCTTATTTCTGTTGTTCTGATGTAATTTGGTGATCTTCCAGCAGCTCACAAGGGCCTGGGCAGGGGGACTGTTTGTTCTCCAGATTTAGGCAAGTCAAACCAGCGTTTGCATCCTGGCTTTGCCATTGACTGGCTGTCATTGTCAGTGTGACTTTCGGTTCATCACTGTACCCCAGTTCCCCTCATTCACAAGTGGGGACAATATGGCAGGGGTGACTACGAAGATGAAAGAGACAACATGCATGCATGTGCCTTGTTGAGAGCCTGGGGTACAGAGTAACGTCAGGGGAAGCCTCATAGCACAGAGTCCCTCCCATCAGCAGTAGAGATGTCTCCACCGCACAGAATTATACAAATCTTTATAGTTCTACCTCGACCCTTACGAGAGAGGAGGCATTCTGTGTGACATAGTGACTTCCACCAGCCCTCCAGGGGAAGTAGGGCTCTTTCACCACATAAAGAAGAGTGGGGGTGCCAGGGCCTCCAGGACCTCTAATAGGACTGAATGGCTGTGAGAATACTTACTGTGCAAGAGTTGGAGGTTAGAGCAAAGCCAAGTCTACCTTTTGTCAGGGTAGTTACATCACACTGTCATATGGGAACTCCTTCTAGCGAGCTACCCAATGTGGGTATCTATACTTCAATTTCTTCATTGGTATGTAGAAATCAATGGTCCTCACAGGATGATTATAAAGATGCAGTGAGAGCATGCATGTACAACACCTACTCAGCCATGTGGCTGGTGATCCAGCATTCATATCGTGGTGTCCTAGCAGCTACTGGCCAGAGCTCTGCTCACCTTTCGGATTCAGGAACTCATCAGTAACGAACAGCTCTCAACAGTCCAAAGATACCATTCTGTCTTCTTGCTTTAATGATACCACTGGGCAGTTGGGCATCTGCTGTTCCTTTGTAGGTGCTCACTCTCTCTCCAGCTACTTTTCAGCTCTTTTGTCTTTCGTGTTCTGTGATTTCATTATGTTGCTCTAAGGGCAGATTTCTTTTTTAATCTTAAAATTAACTTAAGGTATGACATACCTTAAAATTTAAGTGTCTATTTAGATGAGCTTTGATAAATTATATCTTTGAAACTATCATCCAATCAAGATATAGGGACGCCTGGGTAGCTCAGCGGTTAAGTGCCTGCCTTTGGCCCAGGATCGAGTCCCATGTCGGGTTCCCTACATGCATCCTGTTTCTTCCTCGCCTCTGTCTCTCTCTCTCTGTTGTCTCTCATGAATAAATACATAAAATCTTTATTTGATTTTAAAATCTTTATTTATTCATGAGAGACAAAGAGAGAGAGAGAGAGAGAGAGAGTAGAGAGAGAGAGAGAGAGAGGCAGATACACAAGCAGAGGGAGAAGCAAGCTCCATGTAGGGAACCCAACATGGGACTTGATCTCAGGTCTTTAGGATCAGGCCCTGGGCTGAAGGCAGTGCTAAACCGCTGAGCCACCCGGGCTGCCCAACAAATAAAATCTTAAAAAAAAAAAAAAAAAAAAAAAAGATTATAGAAAAAAATTTTTAATTCAGATATAATGGACAAGATATGGAAAAATTTCATCATGCCCAAAAGTTCTCATGTGTCTTTATTTTTTTAAAAAGATTCCTCTATTCATGAGAGACACCAAGAGAGAGGCAGAGACATATGCAGACGGAAAAGCAGGCTCCCTGCAATGAGCCTGATGTGGGACTCGATCCCAGGACTCCAGGATCACAACCTGAGCCAAAGGCGGATGCTCAAACACTGAGCCACCCAGGCGCCCTCATATGTGTCCTTAGAGGCAATTCTCTCCCCCAGAAAACTACTGATCCCTACAGCATGTAGTCTTTTGTGTTGGGCTTTTCTCACTTAGCAATGTTTTTGAGATTTGCCTGTGTTGTTTTGAATGTTGTAGTGTTCCATTGCATGAACATACCACAATCTGTTTATCCATTCACCTTCTGATTTATCTATATGTATAGCCTTTTACCAATATCACATTGTCTTCAATTACTGCAGCATTATAGATCTTGAAATCAGGCTGTAGAAGTCCCCCAGCTTTGTTCTTTTCAAAATTGTCTCGGTAATTCTAGGCATTAGTATTTCTATATAAATTTTAGGCTCAGTTTGTCAATTTCTACAGAAAAAAAAAAAGCCCATTGGAATTTTGATTTGGATTAGGTTGTCTCTACTAATTTAGGATAAACTGAAATCTTCATGATACTGAGTTTTCCAATCCAGGAACATGTTACATGTCTTCATTAATATAGATCTTCTTTAATTTCTCTCAGCAATGTTTTGTAGTTTACTGAATAGATCTTGCACATTTTTTGTTATATTTATCCCTAAGTAACTGTTCTAAATGGTATAATTAAAAAAGTTTAATTATAGGCTTTAATTTTCTTAATATTTTATTTTGGGGGATTTTATTTTTTTAGATTTTATTTATTTGAGAGAGCATGCATGCAAGAGTCGGAGGATGGAGGGATCCCTGGGTGCCTCAGTGGCTTAGCTCCTGCCTTTGGCCCAGGGCGTGATCCTGGAGTCCCGGGATCGAGTCCTGCGTTGGGCTCCCGGCATGGAGCCTGCTTCTCCCTCTGCCTGTGTCTCTGCCTCTCTCTATATTATAAATAAATAAAATCTTAAAAAAAAAAAAGAGTTGGGGGAATGGGCAGAAGGAAAGGGGGAGGGTTGAGGGAGAGGGGAGAGAGAAGCAGACTCCCTGCTGAGCATGGAGCCTTACACAGGACTCAATCTCAGGACCCAGAGATCATGACCTGAGCCAAAGACACTTAACTGAGTCACCTAGGCACCCCTGTATGTTGACTTTGTATCCTTGTGATCTTGATAAAATATTAGTTCTAGGGGATCCCTGGGTGGCGCAGCGGTTTGGCGCCTGCCTTTGGCCCAGGGCGCGATCTTGGAGACCCGGGATCGAGTCCCACGTCGGGCTCCCGGTGCATGGAGCCTGCTTCTCCCTCTGCCTGTGTCTCTGTCTCTCTCTCTCTGTATGACTATCGTAAATAAATAAAAAAAAAAAAAAAAAAAATATTAGTTCTAGTAGCATTTATATAGATTCGTTAGGATTTCCTATATATACGACCATGTTGTATATGATCAGGGCGTGATCCTAGAGTCCTGGGATCGAGTCCCACGTTGGGCTTCCTGCAGGGAGCCTGCTTCTCCCTCTGCCTCTCTCTCTGTCTCTCATGAATGAATAAATAAAATCTTTTATTTTATTTTAAATTAAAAAAAAAAAAAAACAAAAAAAAAACCCATGTTGTTTCCAAGTAAAATAATGACCTGGGATGCTTGGGTGGCTCAGTGGTTGAGCGTATGCCTTTAGCTCAGGGTGTGATCCTGGGGTCCTGGAATCAAGTCCTGCATTGGGATCCCCACAGGGAGGCTTCTCCCTCTGCCTGTGTCTCTGACTTTCTCTGTGTCTCTCATGAATGAATATATAAAATCTTAAAAAAAAAAAAAAAAGAATGACTTTATCCGGTTTGAGATTTACTGTTTCCTAAATCCAAGAATGTAAGCATTTGATTCTGGAAAATGCTCTAATCTTTTCACATATCGCCTCTGCCCCACTTTTCTTATTCTCTGTTGCTGGAACTATCCCCTGTAGCTTTCATGTTTTTCAACTCACATTTTTCCGCCTTTTTATTTGTGTTGCATTGTGAATGAACACTTTCTTCATATTTATCTTCCATTTCACTGATTCTCTCTTCAGCTACAGTTAATGCTTAACCTGTCCACTGAAATTTTAATTTCAATGATTCTACTTTTCATTTCTACAAACTCCTTTTGGTTCTTTTCCAAACCTAGTCATTTTTTAAAAGATTTATTTATTCATGAGAGACACAGATTGAGAGAGAGAGAGAGAGAGAGAGAGAGGCAGAGACACAGGCAGAGAGAGAAGCAGGCTCCATGCAGGGAGTCCGATGTGGGACTCGATCCCGGGACTCTGGGATCACGCCCTGGCCAAGGACAGACGCTCAAACCACTGAGCCACCCAGGTGTCCCCCTACTTAGTCATTTTTTAAAAAATTTTATTTATTTATGATAGTCATCACAGAGAGAGAGAGAGAGAGGCAGAGACATAGGCAGAGGGAGAAGTAGGCTTCATGCAGGGAGCCTGACGTGGGATTCGATCCTGGGTCTCCAGGATCGCGCCCCAGGCCAAAGGCAGGCGCTAAACCGCTGCGCCACCCAGGGATCCCTAGTCATTTTTAAAAGTCCCTGGCTTCCTTTTTTTTTTTTTTCCTTTGTACTTTCTACCCCCAACATGCTGCTTGAACTCACAACCCTGAGATGAAGAGTTGTATGCTCTACCAACTAAGCCAGCCAGGTGGCCTGAACTACTTTGCTTCTTATATTATCAATCTTGCCTTTTATTTCATTAAATATATTAAATACACATTACGTATTCTGAGTCTGTGTGTCTCACTTTCTCTTCTGTTGTTTCTGTTGTCTTTTGCTCATGGTGACATGAATGTTTAATGATTTTTAACTCTGAGTATATGCTCCTTAGAACTTTATCTGTGGAAATTCTTTCAGGACTGTGTTGAAGATGTATGCTCCAGAGGAAATGCATTTACCTTTGCTTCCTTGAGCAGTTTAAAAATAAATTCCCAGTCTGAGGCTTTTCACACAGTGCATGTAAAAGGCTGAAAAGTCATGTGACAGCTTTCTTGTGTTTATAAAATCCTAGAGAGGTATTTCCCTTCTTCAGCCAATACCAAGGTCAACAGCAGGCTCCCTGCTGCAGACAGGGTGCATTTGATCATTCATTGAAGGTGTAGTATTTTGGGGACATAGCTTTATGTGGTGGTCTCCTACCGACCCCCCTCCCCGCCATGCTGAACAGGCCCTAGGCCTTGTCTTTGTCTCTTGCACCCCTCCCAGGGTCTAAGTGGAAGCTCCAGAGCACCTGGATTCATTACATCAGCAGCTCAGGTACTTACTCTTTGAATTTTGGCTTTTGCTTTATTTTTAACTTCTGATATTTCGTTTACTTCCCTATCATCTCATCAGTGTACTCCAAATACTATAGTTAGTATTTTTAGTTATTGTCAGAGGGAAGATTGTTCAGAGTAAATAATCACTGTATGGAAATCTAAGGGTTTTTTTTCCATCTTCTACTTCCACTAACCACTCAAGATGAACACAGGCCAAGGTAAGATGCGTTTCTCAAACAACTATACCTGAGTGGTATCTCTGAAATCTGTCCTTGCAGCAGATTTAATTTTTGGACATGGCATCTACAGTCAGCACCAGAGCCCTCACCATAAGTCTGAAAAACAAAAGAATACTAAGTTTAGAAAGCACTGACAGAATGTTGAGAGACAAATCCATTAGTGACATACCTCAGGAAGGGAAAAGCTATACTTTGCAAGGCAGAAATCCTAATGACTGAGCACTGCTTCTGGAGTAATTTATTTTTTTTATTTTTATTTTTTATTTATTTATGATAGTCACACACACACACACACACACACACAGAGAGGCAGAGACACAGGCAGAGGGAGAAGCAGGCTCCATGCACCGGGAGCCCGACGTGGGATTCGATCCCGGGTCTCCAGGATCGCGCCCTGGGCCAAAGGCAGGCGCCAAACCGCTGCGCCACCCAGGGATCCCCTGGAGTAATTTATTTACAAACAGTCTCAGGAACAAATATTTCTGGTTTATTTGGCGACTATCCTTCTAGCATTGAGAACTCTACATATCAAAGACAAACTCAGTCCCAAACCCCACACTAAATGGTTAATAAACATGAATAAGAAATTTGGAAGAAGGGCACTTGGGTGGCTCACTGGCTGAATATCTGCCCTTGGCTCAGGTCGTGATCCTGGGGTCCTGGGACTGAGTCTTGCATCCGTCTCCCCACAGGGAGTCTGCTTCTCCCTCTGCCTATGTCTTTGCCTCTCTGTGTCTGTCATGAATAAATAAATAAAATCTTAAAAAAAAATTTTTTGGAAGAGAAGCAACATGAACCACCAATTGGTATTCACTGATAATCAAAGCAACATAAAAGTGCTTTTTTTTTTTTCCACTTAGCAGTCACCCATCTGTTTCACAATATTTATTTAGCACCTCTTATGTGCCAGGGCCATGGACTAGAAGGGAAGTAGACAAAAATCACTGTCATCATGGAGTGTACATTCTAGTGAGAGGAGACAGACAATAAATGTATAAACTGACTATGTGGCCATTAGGTGATGGAAGTACCATCAAGGAAAATAAGGCAATGAAAGGGTAGAGTGGAGACAGAGTAGACAATTTTATATAAGGTGTTCAGGAACAGATCACTAAGGTGATGCTTGGGCACAAACTAGGAAAATATGAGGGCAGAAGCCATGAAGATACCTAGGGGAAAGCATTTGGCAGAAGCAATGAAATGGACACGAGAGCAAGGACCCAAGGCTGGCATTTTCGAGGAACATGGCTAGAGCTGAGTGGTCTAGGGGAAAACAACAGGAGATGAGGTTTGAGTGTAGTCCCTACCACAGGCAAAGTCAGCCTCATGGGCATGAGACCTGTTCTGTTATGGCCATGCTGAAAACATTTTTTGGTTTTATTTTTGAAATTCTTATTTTTGAACTTGTGTAAGTGAAGTCTGATGGGACAAAGGATCATGTCTGTTAGCAGAGAAACACACAATATACGTGTCCACTGTTCCTTACCACACCATTTGCATCACGTGCTTGATGATTCAGGGGCACAGGCTTCCAGTTGACTCACAACAAACACGCGGGAGTGTACACAGAGAGTCTGAGTGTAGATGCTTTTTGCCATCTACATCTGAGTATGTGGAGGCACCCACAGGCTGAGATGCCAGGCTTCCACTGGAACAAGAACTTGCTTCAGATGCAGAAGGCAAGGGTGTTCTAAACATACACAACCAACCAAGGAACCCTATCATATCTTTTTTTATTCCTGTTACTTGCCTAGAACAGCTGATCACTTCTGCTAAAAATGATGACATGGAAGGAAAGGGCAAGACAGAGACTTTCCTTTCCCTCAGTCCTTCCTTATGCATCAGGAAACTGATGGGGGAGCATGGGGCTGGGAGAAAATGTATGCATATCAATAAGTAGAGTAAAAACAGCTGAGCTAATTTTGTGTAGCATTTCCAGTGGTAAGAATGAAATATGTAGGCATATATGAGCTCCAAAACACAACCTGGGTTAATTTGGATGATCCTGCACATACAGTAAATGCTCTTATGTTATTCTGCATATGGACTAAACACTCTTTGCATTTTAAACTGGTGTTGTAGGATATCAGTGGCAAAATTAATGCTAATAAACTTAAAATATTAGTTTTTCTTTACTTAGGAAGACATTCAACAGTAAATAAACTCATTATTGGGCAGCCCGGGTGGCTCAGAGGTTTAGCGCCACCTTCAGCCCAGGGCCTGATCCTGGAGACCCAGGATTGAGACCCATGTTGGGCTCCCTGCATGGAGCCTGCTTCTCCCTCTGCTTGTGTCTCTGCCTCTCTCTTTCTCTGTGTCTCTCATGAATGAATAAATAAAATTAAAAAATAAACAAACACATTATGAAAAGTCAAGAGAATCCAGGAAAGAAAGGAAAAGCTTAATATTTTAGTACCTTTTACAGCTCTGCTTTTGAACAAGGGGCCTCACATTTTCCTTTCGTATCAGGCACTGTACGTGGCTCTGTCTCTAAGACTATGGATTTTGCTCTAACCTGGAAGGTTGGGGAGACTGACTTGGCCCAACACATGTTTTAGCAGGACATTTGAGCCCCAGCGCTGAGGGCAGACTATACCGCAGCAACAGGGGGGCTGGCAGGAGGTTGCTGCAAATAGTGGTGTGGCTCAGACCACTGTAGTAACAAGTGGTCAGTCTGGGTACATCCTCACAGGGGAGCTGACAAGATCTGCTGATGGACAAGATGAAGAGTATTAGAGAAAAAAAAAAAAAAAAAGAGGAGTCATGGATGACTTCCAGGTTTTTTTTAGTCCAAACAACTAACCAGGGACTTGGCACACAGGAGATGGGGATGACTGTGGGAGAGCAGGTGTGTAGGGCCTTCTGTTTGGAAAGATGGGTTCTGGATGACTATCAGAGAACCAGGAGAGAGTTGAATGGGCAGACCTGGGGTCTGAGACAGATACCCCAGAGCTGTGAGACGATCTCCTCTTGGATCACTAAGGAGAGGTCAACAAACTTGAAACACTGGAGCAGAGGCCAACAAACTGACTACCAGAGCATTCTCACGTTTAGAAGCTGGGGAGATGGGAAAAAGCTAGCACAGAGGACTGAAACACAGCAGAAAGACAGCAGGAGAACCAGAGGGGGATGACTGGAAGTCTGAGTGAACACAATGTTTTGAGGAGGACATGACAAACTGTGACAGATGCCACCAACAGGTCAAGCTGCTGGGGGACTGAGAATTCACCATGGATTTTAGCAAATGGAGATCACTGCTCACTTTGACAAGAGTCATTTTACTGGACTGCAGGGAATAAAGTCCAGCTACGGCAAGTTCAAATTAGAATGGGAGAGAACTGAAGACTGCAACGGCAAAGCTTTGTAAGGCGTGGATCTGGCATAAATGGCTGAGTGTACGTGCGCTAGCGAGGGAGGGACCAGACCACTGCTGAATGCTCAAATCATTCTCCCCTCATCTGGGCACAAACTGGACTAAGTTTTCTGGTTTTCCTTGCAATTCTTTCTAGTGGGATGGGAGCCACTTCTAGGCCTGACCCCTGAAAGCCTCCTGGGTAGTTCCTTCATGTTCTTGCCCTTCAGTGGCTGCAGGCACCAGGCCTCTGGGACTTAACAGAACCTCAAGATGGAGGGTGCCTGGGTCCCCGAATGACCACACCCAGGATGTCTGCCCTTTTGATTTTAATCCCTTCCAGGACCATTACAAGAGCAAGAGAGACAATTTCTATTGTGTTAGGCTACACCATTTTGTCGTCTATTTGTCACTGTGGCCTAGTCTACCATAAGCCATGCCCCACTGCACATGCATGGAGGTGCTGAGATGAATGCAGGGCCTCCTCAAGGAGAATTTAGAAATATAAGCTGACATGGAAAATGAGTAGCAGTCACCAGCTCACAAGCCAGCTCCTTGTCTTCGGAGACCCAATCCTGGGGTGGGCCTCAGCAGCTCTACTGCTGACCAATGACCCGATCATTCCTATTCTGACCATCCCAGTTGGCTGGACCAGATGTGGACATCTGGGTTAACTGAGCCAATCAGATCGCTTCCCCCAGTTTATTAATTGGGATTCAGCTATTCTAGTTGGTTTGAAGTGAGAATCTGTGGTCGGTGGGTGGAGTAGGTTACTGTGAGCTATCTGGGGAGAGAGAGGAAGGGGAGGAAAAAATGATGTTTGCATTGTCCACAGCTTTGCGGACCTTCAAGGGCTCAGGGATTTTCATCCTCCCTTGCTTTCCCCAAGATACCCCATTACCTTGCCAGTACTTTTTTTTTTTCTGAAACCGTTCTGAAGTGTCTTTTTTCTACTTGCAATCAAAAGAATCTTCGTTAAAAGACATCCTTTGAAATAGCAACTTAACTTCAAGGAAATCACTGGTCAAGTGAAGAAAGAGCTTTTGTAAGAACCCTCATTGCAGAGTTGTTCATAACAATGAAAACAAAAATCAACCTAAGTGCCAGTCACTGTGGGATTGGTCATTTCCTGATTCAATAAATATTCACCAAGCGATCACTTACTATGCCAGGCACATGATATGTGCAGAGGGCGGATCAGAAAACAAAACAGGCAGAGCTTCTGCTCTCATGGCACTTCCATGAGATAAGCAACACTCATGTAAACACACTCGAATATGATTATCTTTTTTTTTAAAGATTTTATTTATTTATTCATAGAGATGCAGAGAAAGAGAGAGAGAGAGAGAGAGAGAGAGAGAGAGAGAGAGAGAGAGGCAGAGACACAGGCAGAGGGAGAAGCAGACTCCATGCAGAGAGCCTGACGTGGGACTCGATCCAGGGTCTCCAGGATCACGCCCTGGGCTGCAGGCGGCGCTAAACCGCTGTGCCACCGGGGCTGCCCCTCGAATATGATTATCTAAATCAGGGCAGTGAGGAGAGCAAGGGGAAGCCCCAACAAGGAGCACAAAGGCCATAAAGGTGCAGCATGTCTAGACTATTTCAAGGTCTGAAAGCAAAGGCCTCATGGCCGAAGGAGGAAAACAGGCAGCTGAAGCGGGAGAGGTGGCATGGGGGGGCCAGAGAAGGTGAACGAGGGGCTCAATAAGGCAAAGGGTGCAGAAAGGCTGCACTATGAAAGAGATGAGGTGGAGCAATAGGTATCCATATGAAAAGAATCTAAGTGGCCTAAGTAAGAGCGTTTATCGTTTATCCCGAGCTTCCTTCAGTCCTTAGGTTCTCTCTTGAGCATCTCCTGATGACCTCCACTTCCTGAGCTCCCCTTGTCCTCAAACTGCACGCACGGACATGTACCCAGCCGGTTGGGTCTGACTGCCCAGTCATCTTCTTACAGGCCCTGCATTTTCCTTGCCATTTGCTCAGTCTAGGTTTTTTTTTTTTTTTTTTTAAGATTTACTTATTTATTTGAGAGAGAACACAAGCAGGGTGAGAGGGAGAGAGAGAAGCAGACCCTCCACCCAGCAGAGAGCCCTACTTGGGGCTCAACCCCAAGACCCCAGATCATGACCTAAGCCAAGGGCAGACGCTTAACTACCCAGGCGCCCCGTTCAATCTAGTTTTAATTGCCCTGTGTGTGTGCATCAGTTTCTCTTCCACATGTACAGATCTGTGAAGCGAGAATGACAAAGCTTTGCCGCCCTTCTTTCTCCTATGCCTGCACACAGAAAGTACTCAGTAAAAACTTGCTGACTGAATAAGCAAAGGAAGGTAAATTTCCATACATTTCACTCCTTGAAGAAAGAGGGACCTAGGAGTAGATGTTCTTGATCTAGTGAACTTGGTCCCAATACTGAAATGCTGGGACTCCACAGAAACATGCTTTTCTGCAGGGCTGGGTTCCCCCCCCCCCCGCCCCCGCCTCCTGGCTTTCTGGCTTGGCTACTAGATGCCCTGTTTCTCAGGACTCACCTGCAAAAATGACTGCTTCTCTCCACAAGCTTTGCATGTCCACTTGAGACTCTTTTTCTCCTACAATGAAATCCCAGAAATTTGGCTTAATTCTTTAAAACAGGTAGAAATGAATAAAAAATAATGATTTCAAAAGATCAAGGGAAAAGAATAAAATTCTAAAAACAAACCAACATATATGTATAAAAAGCTAATGGAGGGATCCCTGGGTGGCGCAGCGGTTTGGCGCCTGCCTTTGGCCCGGGGCGCGATCCTGGAGACCCGGGATCGAATCCCATGTCAGGCTCCCGGTGCATGGAGTCTGCTTCTCCCTCTGCCTGTGTCTCTGCCCCCCCACCCTCTCTCTGTGACTATCATAAATTAATAAAAATTAAAAAAAATGTATTTTTAAAAAAAGCTAATGGATTATAAAGGTGGCATTTTAGGAGTGAGGAAAAAACAGACTATGTAATAAATGGTGCTGGGAAAACTATCCATATGAAACAAAATCAAGCAGATCTCTGCTACTTCCACAACATTTTAATTTCAATTCTTGAGAAATCTAAGTGAGTTCTCTCTTAACATGATAAAATACCTTATATTCAGCTCTAAAACTGGAAAGTCACTGCCAGTATGCCTATGAAAATCAAGAACAAGCCAAAAAGCCCCACTATAGTTGACCATTGTTATTTTTCTGCTAATGGAATTGGAAAAGAAAAAGTAATAAGAGGTATGAAAACTGGAGAGGAGGGAAAAATTGTTATAGATTTTTTTTAACCTGAAAACTCAAGAAAATCAAATGAAAAACTACTAAAAACATTAAGACAATCTAATATAGTGAGATTGAGTACAAAGTTAATATAGCTTCAAAAGTTAACAGAGCCCGGATGCCTGGGTGGCTCGGTGGTTGAACGTCTGCCTTCGGCTCAGGGTGTGATCCTAGAGCCCTGGGCTCTGAGTCTCGAATCGGGCTCCCTGCATGGAGCCTGCTTCTCCCTCTGCCTATATCTCTGCCTCTTTCTCTGCCTCTCATGAATAAGTAAATCAAATCTTAAAAAAAAAAAAAAAAAAAAAGTTAACAGTCTTTATGTAAGTATCTAGTCAGAAAAGGTAATGGAAGAGTCCATTTATAATACCAACAAAGAAAATGTTCTCACGGGGCACCAAAGTTCCTTGAAAAAATGGAATGAAGTAGCATGCTTAACATCAAAAAGATTCCTGGGCTGATTTATAAAAATTAATGAGTATGATCCTAATACAAAACCTTCATGGTTTTTTTTAAAGTACCCCAAAGGTTTCTAAGGAAGCCAAGCAGTACCAAATACAAATTTATGTAGACATATCCTACAATTCAGCAATTCTAATTCTCTAGTCTCTCTCTTCAAACACCATAAAAATATTCCTTTCTATGGGTACCTCTACAAGGAGGAAATGCACATTAAAGAAAAAAATAGGTCTGGAAGGACACACAGTAACTGGCTAGCTCTAGGGGTCTGGAGATAGTAAGAAATAACAGGATCTTTGCAATCAGACAGCCCTGGGCCTGCCATTTATTAGATAGACCCCAGGATTTCCGTATTTTCATCTCTGTAAAATGTGGATGATAGATACCTAATCCAGAGATTGTTTTTTTTTTTTAATTTTTATTTATTCATGATAGTCACACAGAGAGAGGGGGGCGGGCAGAGACACAGGCAGAGGGAGAAGCAGGCTCCATGCACCGGGAGCCCGACGTGGGATTCGATCCCGGGTCTCCAGGATCGCGCCCTGGGCCAAAGGCAGGCGCCAAACCGCTGCGCCACCCAGGGATCCCTAATCCAGAGATTGTTGAAACTAAATGGGATGTGTGAAATTGTCACCTCTGCAACTACTGTTAACTCTTTTCTCCCTTTAGGTTCAAATCACTTTTCCTAGTTGAAATAACTGTGAGAGTATGCACATTATGTATGTGTTATAATTTAAAAATGGAAATGACTTCCATTTAATCTCAACTCCTAAAATACAGTCCAAAAAGTGAAGTAAAAACGATTTCTGAGCCCCCCAAAGAGCCCTTGGGGTCTCAGCAGGCGGACGGGTGCATACTCAGCACCTGACTTCTAAACATTCACTTTGAACAAGTTTGATGTTATCCTTTTTCTGGGCACAGCAGGTAAGAGGGGAAAGAGAGAACTGTCAGGAGATACACTTGACGGCAGTGTTGGGTGACATCAAGGACTAAGATGAAATACCATCCAGGACAAGACAGGCTAAGTGACATCCCTTATCTTGCATCTTCAAAGTCAGGGAAGCAAAACGTTTTAGAATTTCTGAGGACCGTGTTTCAAAAACTTCACTCTTGGGTTGTTCACCATTTGGGCAACAGGCATGAGTCCCTCCTCATACGATGGAGACACTGCAGAGCAAAAGGGTGACAGCAAGGCATGCCCAGTTGTGCCTCAGTTTGAAAATTGTCATCTCTGGCGCCTGGGTGGCTCAGTCCCGTAAGTGTCTGCCTTCGGCTCAGGCCATGATCCTGGGGTCCTGGGATCCAGCCCCATATCAGGTTCCCTGCCCAGCTAGAAGTCTGCCTCTCCCTCCTGCTTCTTGTGCTCTCCTACTCTCTTTCTCTCAAGTAAATAAATAAAATCTAACAACAACAACAAACAAACCAAGGGACACCTGTGTGGCTCAGTGGCTGGGCGTCTGCCTTCGGCTCAGGGCGTGATCCCAGGGTTCCAGGATCGAGCCCCGCATCAGCTCCCTGCATGGAGCCTGCTTCTCCGCCTCTCTCTGATGTAGCTTTCATGAATAAGCAAATAAAATCTTTAAAAACAAACAAACAAAACAATAACCCTGTCATCTCCCCAGTAGTTAAATTAAGAAAGAGCCGCTTTGGGGTGGGCTCTCCTCGACGGGCTTTCTCCAACTAGCTCCAAGAAGTCACGAGGCCGCCTCCGCAGAAACCATTACCCCTGGTTTCTACGAACCTTATAACCACCATGTCAAAAACATTAAAAAAACAACAAACAAACAAACAAACAACAACAACAGTAAAACGTTACGAAGAGACACCAAAACCCAGTCCTCAGAGCCAGTCCTGCAGCCCGGCGTCAGGGAGGCCCAGGGCCGCCCCGCGGGGCAAGGCTTGGGGCGGAGGCCCGGCCCTCCGCGGCCCCTCCAACTCCCGCCCGCCATTGTCGCGCCCGGAGGGGGAGCCCGGTGCCCACCCCACCTGGTGTGCTTGGAAGAGGCGACAGCGGAAGCACCGCAGCACCCTAGCCCGCTGAGCGGGCGACATTGCGGCCGCCGCCGCCGCCGCCGCTCAAACGCCGCGTCCTCCCGGCGGCCCCCGCGCAGCCTCCCGCCCGCGCGCAGGGTCCTCTAGACCCCGCCGTCGCGCGTGCGCGTGCGCGTGCGCCCTGCGCTTGGGCCCGCCCCCCGCCCCCCCGGAAGTGTTCGGGCCTCTCTAGCTCGTGGAGCGCCTCGGCGGTCGGCCGCGGGGTCGCTGACGGCGGGGCGCCGGCCCTCGGTCGGCCGCCGGGTCGGTCGTTTGGGGGTTTGCGTCAGCCTCGCCACCGACGTGCTGTGTGGGCGCGGGCCGGCTCCCGTTTCCCCCTGAAGCCCGATGCTGCGCTGGGGCTGGCTGGGAGGTTGAGCTTGCCAGGGCGGCGCCCCCAGCTGCCGCTCCGGGGTCGGTCGTGCGCGGAGGACAGCGGGAGGGCGCCGGCCCGCCCCGCCCCGCCCCGGCCCGGCCCGCCCCGCCCCGCCCCGGCCCGGCCCGCCCCCTGGCGCCCGCGGGTGGGGTTTCCCGGACCTCCGGGCCGCGGCGGCCAGGGCACCTGTGAGCCTGAGCGCCGAGGGCTGCGGACCCCGGGCCCCCGGGCCCCCGGGCCCCCGGGAGGGATTCCCAGAGAGCGAGGGGGAACGGGAAGCTGCTGTCAAGGGAACTAGCCCCTGCTGCAGCCCGGAGACGGCTCCACCGCGACCCACTGTGCAAGGCGGGTCGCGGGACCCCTCCTGTCCCAGCCGCCGGCACCCTGGCCCGGCCCGCCCACACCTCCCAGTGCCGAGAACATAAGCCACATTGTTGGCATTATAACACCCGATGGGGTGAGAGGGGCCCTTGCCACCGGATTCAGTAGCAGGGTAAACTGGAAAGACCCTTACGCTGAGAAAATGACTCCCCCAACTTAGGATCTATGTGCCAGTGTTCCCCGACCTATAACAGGAGAATGGAAACAGACATGCCAGAGAGTCGTCGCTTACTGAGACTCAAAATGGGCCATTAAGCATGCAGGTCGATTACAGAGACTCTAAGTTTGACCTGAAAATGCTGGCATGTGTATTGATGGGAAGCAAAGAAGTTACAAAGAGGATATAATTTCAATTACGTAAAACCAGGCGTTATTTCCGAGGTGGAAGGGTTAAGGTTATAGATGATTTAGAACTGTTGGATTATGTTTGAGGGGCATCTAGGTGGCTCAGATGGCTATTAAGTGTCTGACTTCTGCTTAGGTCATGATCCTGGAGTCCTGGGATCCAGCACCTCTCCACCCCCGCCCCTGCTGGGAGAGGGGAGGGGTCCTGTGTCTCAAGCCCCAGGCCCGGCCCCCCACCCCTGCTGTTGTCACTCTTTCTCTGGTGCTGTCAAATACAATCTTGAAAAAAAAAAAAAAAGTTTGAGAAGCGGAATTTACAAACGGACTGTGACTAGACCACATATGATGACCTTTATAGCAACCAACCTCCAATCCCCGAAGCCAAACTACAACCTCTAGAGCAGACAGGACTTGGTCAGTAACTGCCAATTTCCCTGTATTCTGCACTCTTTATCTCAGGACCAACCAGAGAAACCCAATTATGCACCACACACCAACAGAAAAGACATCCTTCTAGTTAGCCAGCACCCCCTTCCAGGCAGGCAGCCTCTAATCAGAGCACACCTGAAGCCTTCTCTTGTTTTCACTGAAGGCTTTCCCCACTCCTCTTGAGGTCTCTGCCAAATGCACCTGATGACAGCTGCCTCCTTTTCTATATAGCAAGCTCTAGATACATAGTCCCTGCTCTCACTTGGGTGGTCTGTTTATTTCCCCCGTGTTTGGCTTATTGTGGCTGAAAGCAAGAGGCATCTAAAAAGAATGTTTTGTGCTTAATGAAAATGGAATAGAAATTTCATGGGTCACCTAGGTGGCTCAGTCGGTGATGCGTGTCTCTTGATTTCGGCCCAGGTTATGATCTCCGGGGTTCTGAGATCCAGCGCAGAGTCTGCTTGAGATTCTTCCTCTCCTGCTCCCTTTGCCTACCATACCCCCTGTATGCATGCTCTCTAAAATCTTAAAATTTTTTCATACTGGTATGGGTTCAGCTTTGAAAAAGATATAGAAAAAAAGCATAAAAATACTGAGTAATCTTGGGACGCCTGGGTGGCTCAGCAGTTGAGTGTCTGCCTTTGGCTCAGGTCATGATCCTGGGATCGAGTCCCGCATTGGGTTCCCCACAGGGCGCCTGCTTCTCCCTCTGTGTCTCTGTCTCTCTGTGTCTTTCATGAATAAATACAATCTTCAAAAAAAATTGAGTAATCTTAAATATCACAAAAAATGGTTTTCCTACTTTTCTGTTTTCCTCCTTTCTTCAAAAATACGTAATCTCCAAAAATTCATATATTTTTCTTGGGAATTACAAAATTGACTTGGTTTGGTATATCACTTGGTAAGCAGTCTTATTTTTTTATTTTTTAAAATTTTTATTTATTTATGATAGTCACACACAGAGAGAGAGGGGCAGAGACACAGGCAGAGGGAGAAGCAGGCTCCATGCACCGGGAGCCCGACGTGGGATTCGATCCCGGGTCTCCAGGATCGCGCCCTGGGCCAAAGGCAGGTGCTAAACCGCTGCGCCACCCAGGGATCCCGGTAAGCGGTTTTAAAATATATAATTGTGTTTACTTACAGAAGAAAAATATTTTTAAAGCTCTATTCATACTATCCATTCTTTTGTCATATGAAAGGCTAGATTACTGTATCATATTCTTGTTTAATTTCTTCGGCACATTGTCACATTTAGACTTCTATGTGATATAGAAAACATTTATCCAAATTTCGCTTTATTTACATCTAATTGATTACAATCAATTTAAGACTTTAAACTGCCAACTTTATGGGGTTTTTACATAGATATTTACTTAATTTCATTATGGCCAAAAATGCAGTCTTTTGGATATGAACCCTTTGAAATTACTTTATGGCAAAGCATGTGGTCAGTTTGTATAAATCCTAGAAAGGAAATTACATTGGTTAATGACATTTTTTTTGTTGTTAAGCAAACAGTTATTCAGTTTCCTTGATGTTGTTTCGCCACATTTATTGAGATGTGAACCAGCAGTTGTGAACAGGGTAAAATCACAGAGACTGTCATTTAAAACACCAGCCATAAAACCTATAAATAGAAAGTAGATTAGTGGTTCCTTGGAGCTGCAGGTGGGAATGGGGACTGGCTGCACGTGGGTGGGAGGGTCTTTCTCAGGTGATGGAAGTACTCTAAAATTGCATGGTGGGGACAGCTGCACAACTCTATAAATTTACTCAAAATCATTGAAATATAGCTCAAAACAAGTGAATTTTATGGCATATAAATTATACCTCAATAAGCTATTAAAAGAAAAAACAAACACAGGGCACGCCTGCGTGGCTCTGTCAGTTAAGCATAGGACTCTTGATCTCAACTAGGGTCTTGATCTCAAGGTCGTGAGTTCAAGCCCGATGTTGGGCTCCATGCTGGGTAGGGAGCCTACTTACAAAAAGAGGGAAAAAAGCCCAGCCCCAGGACTTATCCTTATCCACGTGGTAGGGATGGGAAGGAAGGCGAATGCCAGACATCAAGGATCAGCTCTTGTCCCAAAGCTAGGGGGTGCTCATGGCTCAGTCTGCTACCTGTGGCCCCACATCAACTTGCCCCAAGTGCATGCTGCAGCCCAGGCCCAACCACACCCCTGCACCCACGGGGCCCAGGCTGCTTGCACCTGTGGAGCTTGGGACTGCCCCCATCGGCAAAGGTCAGTTCAGGCCCTACCGGGTCTGCATCAGCACCTTCTGCGTCCTCATTCTTCCTGAGGGCCCCGAAGCCCTACCCCTGTGGGGGTCTGAGTGCCCAGAATGTCTGGAACATGGCCTGGGGGCCCATCTGCCTGGGAAGAAGCCAGAAGCCCAAGCCGTAGCTGAGGCCCCATTAAGGCTCTGCACGCAGTATGGTATTGAGTTCTTTCAGGGGTTTATTAAGGCATTGAGCACAGTATGATCTTCAGCCAACTGAAATGAATACAAGGAAATAGATCAGGACCTGAGGGATGTGCTTTTAAGGTTAATGGTGAGGCTGATGAGCTGAAAGAGCATTTCGAGTAACGCCTGTGTGGCACCTGCCCTGGTGCACTAGACACTTCCTGCCTGTGTCTCTTGGCCAGGGGCTTGGGCTCAGGGGCTTCCAGAAAGCACCTTGAAGTTCCCACCACCTTGATGCTCAACAGGCACGAGACTCACTGCCTGGTGCCAAATGGCAGGAAAGCTCCCCACCGACCCCCACCCCCACCTGGAGTACTCAGCTGCAGCCCTCCTCTCCCCCAGGAGTACTCAGCTGCAGGGTACCCTCCCATCTTCTTAGAAGTGGAAGGAGCAGGGTAGCCTGGCTACAGAATGGGGCACGGAGGCACTGGGCAAGCAGGCCAGGATGGACGGCCTCTGACACTGCATGGGACCAAGGTGGGTCCCATGAAGCAGGGCATGAGGGGATCCAGCTGTGGCCATTCAGCCTTTTTTCCATTCACAACTGACTGCGTCTGGGGAGAGCAAGAGGGGTGCGTCCTTAAGGAGAAAAGAGAACACGAAGGGGGAGGGGGAAGCAGAGAGACAGGCCAGGTCCCTGTCAGCCTGAAACTCCAGACTGTTCGAGGTCGCTGGAGGTGCTGAACTGTCTCTCCACCTTCTTCTGCTCCTTGATCTTGAGTCCGATGTCCACCCTCTTCTCAAAGAAGTTCACCAGGACGGACTCCGTCAGGATGGAGGCCAGGATCTGCTCAAAGGAGATGCACCAGTCTGTGTCTACAGCGCCGCCACAGCGGGCGGTGGCTGGGGGACTGCGGGCCTCCCCGCCCACCAGCACCGTGTCGTCAGCCAGGTCCTCGCATGGCAGGGAGCCAGTGCTGACCACTGAGTAGGAGGAC